ATCCCCATCCTGTCCTGCCTGAGGCTGCCAGTTTCCCGTGTCCCATCCCCATCAGCTCCCCCTTTCCCCTCCCCACCTGTCCCCCCCGCACCAGCTCCCCCGCTCCCACCCCCATCAGCTCCCTCTGTCCCATCCTCACCAGCTCCTCCCTGTCCTACCTTGAGCTGCTCCGTGTTGTCACCGTGTCCTGCCCCATCCCTGCCTGCACCCCTCATCCCACCCCAGGCTCTGACCTCCCCGTGCCGCAGGTCTGGGTCTGGCTTCGATGGTGATCGTCTTCTTCTGCAACTCCTACTACATCATGATCCTGGTGTGGGGACTCTACTACCTGGTGCACTCACTGACGGACACGCTGCCCTGGGCCACGTGCGGCCACCCCTGGAACACGGAGCAGTGCACCGAGCTCTTCCAGTTGGAGCTCTGCTACAACGCCAGCATCAACGCCACCGCCAAGCTCTTCAACGTCAGCTGCGCAGACATGGGCAACAAGCGCTCGCCCGTCATCGAGTTTTGGGAGTGAGTGCGGGCACCACGCGGGCTGTCCTGGGGCTGATGCCATCACCCCGGTGCTCAGCACGGCCCCGCTCTGCAGGAACAAGGTGCTGCGGCTCTCGGGGGCCCTCAGCGAGCCGGGGGAGATGAACTGGCAGATGATCCTCTGCTTGATCGCTACCTGGGTCATCGTCTACTTCTGCATCTGGAAAGGCGTCAAGTCAACCGGGAAGGTGATGCTGGTGGTGGGGAGAACGCATTGGAGCCACCAGCACACCGGCACTGCTGGCTCCTGTGCCACAGCCCATGGGGTGCACGACCCCCTGTCCCACATCTCTCTGCTGGGGACGTTCCTGAGCTCTGGTCCTTTTTTGGCACACGATGGAGAGCCCCCAGCCTAGGTGAGGGTCTCACCAGCACCCTCTCCTCTGCAGATCGTCTACTTCACAGCACTCTTCCCCTACGTGGTCCTCATCCTGCTGCTGGTCCATGGGGTGACACTGCCTGGGGCGCTGGGTGGCATCATCTACTACCTGAAACCCGACTGGTCCAAGCTGGCCGAGGCGCAGGTGAGGGCAGTGGAGAGGGCAGGAGGAGAAGGGGACCCCCCTAACACTTTCCTTGCTCCCCAACACCCTCCCTCGCACGCAGGTCTGGATTGATGCTGGCACCCAGATCTTCTTCTCCTACGCCATCGGTTTGGGCGCCCTGACCGCGCTGGGCAGCTACAACCGCTTCCACAACAACTGCTACAGGTAGTGCTGCACCGGCTGTGGGTGTCCCCTCCAGTGCGTGTCCCCCCGTGCTGTCCCCTGACCTGCTGTGCCCACAGGGATGCCTACATCCTGGCCGTGATCAACAGCTCCACCAGCTTCTTCGCCGGCTTCGTTGTCTTCTCCGTGCTGGGCTTCATGGCATCCGAGCAAGGCGTGGACATCTCCAAGGTGGCCGAGTCCGGTGAGTGCCGGGCAGTGGTGACCCCGGTGCCGTGTCCCCCTGTGTCCCACCCTATGGTGGCACCGCTGACCCCGCTCTCCCACAGGCCCCGGGCTGGCTTTCATCGCCTACCCCAAAGCCGTGACACTGATGCCCTTGTCGCCGCTTTGGGCCACGCTCTTCTTCTTCATGCTCCTGGTGCTGGGGCTGGACAGCCAGGTGCAGGGCGGGCAGGGGGGACGGGGACGGGCAAGGGCACGGGGTGGTGCATCCCCACTGAGCCCCGCTCTCTGCCGCAGTTTGTCGGTGTGGAGGGTTTCATCACGGGCATCCTGGACATGTTCCCCCAGCCGGGGGCTGGCTCGCTGCGCCGCGAGCTCACCGCTGCCGTCTGCTGCATCATCTTCTGCCTCATCGACCTCTCCATGGTCACAGAGGTGATGATGGAACCGTGGGCCCCGGCGTGGGGTGGGAGATCCCTGGGGTGCTGCGCCCACACTGTTGTCACCAGTGTGCTGTGGGAGCTCAGGGTGTCTGTGGCATGCGGGGTGCCTGGCACAGTCCCGGTGACACGCGGTGTCCTGGCAGGGTGGCATGTACGTGTTCCAGCTCTTTGACAACTACTCGGCCAGCGGGATCACGCTGCTGTGGCAAGCGTTCTGGGAGTGCGTGGTCATTGCCTGGGTCTATGGTGAGGCCAGGAGGACATGGGGAGGGGGTCACGCAAGGGTGCTCTATGGGGCTGACCTCCTTCTCCCCATAGGTGCCGACCGCTTCATGGACGACGTGGCCCGTATGATTGGCTACCGGCCCCTGCCCTTCATGAAGTGGTGCTGGGCTGTGGTGACGCCGCTGGTCTGCGTGGTGAGCGGGGCTGACACATGTGTTCATGCGTGTCCTCGCATGTCCTCGCGTGTCCTCGCTGCCACGGGCGCTGAGCTCCCCCAGGCGGCTGCTTTGGGCACGGCAGCCACGGGGCGACACGCGTGTCAGGGTCATGGGGCAGGACGCGTGTCAGGGTCACGGGATGACATACGTGTCAGGGTCATGGGGTGACACGCATGGGGGGTCTGTGGCTGCCATCCCCTGGCCCGCAGGACCTCATCCCAGTCTCTGTACCCAGGGCATCTTCGTGTTCCATGTGGTGAACTACAAGCCGCTGACCTACAACAAGACATACGTGTACCCGTGGTGGGGGGAGGCCATTGGCTGGGTCCTGGCTCTCTCCTCCATGCTCTGCATCCCCTGCACCCTACTGTACAAGCTCCTGCGCTGCAAAGGCTCCCTGCGCGAGGTGAGGGGGCTCCAGCCCACCCCTCTGCTCTGCTCTGCCCTTGTTCCCCCCCCCCATCCCCATCCCAGTCCCATCCCCATTCGAATCCCAGCTCTGTCCATGTTGCCACATCAGTCCCATGCGCAGCCAAATCCCGTCCCTGTCCCCATCACTGTCTCATTCCAAGCCTCACCTGAATTCCAGTCTTGCTTAGGTCACTGTCTCTGTTCCTTCCCCATCCGAATCCAATCTCTATCCCTCTTACTTCCTGACAGATCCTGTCCCTAGCCCATCATTGTCTCAACCCCATCTCCATCTCATCCCTGTCCTCTTCTCAATCCCATTTCAATCCCTTTGCTAGCCTAGATGCACCCACATCCCCATCCAAGTCTCTTTCCTGTGCTTATCACTCTCCCATAAAAATCCCACCCCTGTCCCCATCACTGTCTCACTCCCAACCTCACCCATGTGAGACACCCAAGTGAGACATCGCTTTCTCAGTCCCATCACCATCTCAGTCCCATCCCTATCTCAATCCCATTTCAGTCCCTTCCTCATCCCGGTCTCACCTCCATCCCCATGCAAACCCCACCCCACGCACCAGCGATATGGGACGCACCGTGTCGGGTCGGGGCTGTCCCCATGCACTGACACAAGGTCCCCGCAGCGCTGGCAGCTCCTGACCACTCCAATCTGGGGCCACCACCACCTGGAGTACCTGACACCCGAGGCAGAAGCCAAACTGCTGGCCCCAGAGCCCCCCAAGGAGAAGGCGACGCTCTTCGAGACTGTGATCTGAGCACGGGGAGGGTCGCGCTGCTCCCGCCTGCCATAGCAATAATGCCAGCACTGCCTCCCACCGCTCTGCCCCGTGCCCCCCGCACCACCCCAGCCCCCCAGCCTCGCTGCAGGGAGGGGTCAATGGGGCCCAGGGAGGGGGGGTGGCTGCGGGGAGCAGGAGGGGTCCCCGGGATTGGGGGGGGGGGGGAATGGAGCGGCTGGGGGGGGGGGGAGGCTGCAGGTTTGGGGGGGGGGAGCAAGGGACAGCCCAACTCCGGCCCCAGCCGGCCCCCCCCGGCCCCCCGCTCACTAACCGCTTCCTGTAGCGTTTGTCTGGTGTAACCCCGACCGCCCCGACATCTGGCAATAAACTGGGAGACCCTGGCAGCACCGGCATGGGGGGTGTGGGACAGGGGCTTGGGGGCTCAGGGATGTGGGGACACATTGGCTCCACTCTTGGGGTGACTCAGAGGGGACAGGCAGCAGGCGCCGTGGGGTCTCCCTCCTCTTCCATTGCAGGATGTACCAAACCCAGGTTTCCCTATGGGACTGAGGCACCCCATGTAGGTAGGGTTGGCCCTGCTTTCAAGTCCCAAGGGATGGATTTCAGCTACTTTCAGGCTTTTAGGGTCCTGGCTGTTCCCAGGCCATAGTGGGGATTGCAGTGGGTCAGTCAGGATCCAGCCATACCCCACTGGGAGCTGCTTGTGTTGACTTCAGGGTTCTCCTCTCCCTGTGCTGTGCTGCAGGGACTGTTCTGGGATGAGGAGGGATGAGGGGAGATGATGCAGCCCTTGAGCCCCACTATGTAGCTGGGAGAAGCCAGATGCTCAAGCTGCCTGCACCCAGTCCCAATGGGGCACCAAGCAGGGGGTGCACGTGCCCTGTATCACATCCCACAGCTCCAGCCCATGCCGTGGGGACCTGCATGGTGCCATGAGGAAGCCCTTGGCACGCCGTGCTGGGGTGGCTGCCAACTGTCCCTGTGCCCTGGCTGTGTGTCAGCATCCTGATGTGCCCGGGGCTGGCACCTATCGCCATCCAGCAGCACCGTGGGGCACCCCACGTCTCTGCGCTGCCCGTGGAAGGACAAGGAGGGAGAGGTGCCAGCATCTGCCTGGGCCAACCTGGAGCGCAGCACTGGGGCAGCATGGCTATGCCGGGGGGGTACGGCCTGCCCCTTCGGGATCATTGGGGTGCCAAAGGGGCTTGTCTCGGGGCGAGCCGGCAGTTCCTGCCCCACCGGCAACACGCACCGTAATTAGCAGGGGCAGGGCGGAAGCATGGGCGCTAATTGGGGATGACTCGTTAGTGCTGGAGCGCCGCATGCCAGGGGCACGGCTGGACTTTCCGGCAGGGCTGGTCTGCGGGACCGGTTGACATCCCACCCCGGTGCACCGGGGCCTGGCTGGGTCCCGTCATCACCTCCCCTTCATGTCACAGCGCGTTCCGTCCCACCACCCTCTGTAAAAGGCTGCTGGTGGTGGTGAGAGCAGGTGGAGGCAGGCAAAGCAGAAGCAGAGACAGGGATAAGGGGCAGCTGGGGCACCATTTGCTTCCCCCACGGACTCCCTGGAGCCCCCCGCCGGGCACCATGAACCGGATCACGGTGTACGAGCACGCCAACTTCGAGGGGCTGAGCCGGGAGTTCACTTGCGACGTGCCCGACCTGCACGAGCTGGATTTCGGGAACTGCATCTCCTCTCTGAAGGTGGTGGGGCAGCCCTGGATCGCCTACACAGACCCCAAGTACGAGGGGCAGCCGCACGCCTTCGAGGAGGGTGAGTACCCCTCCATAGAGCGACCCAACAGCTTCTCAGCGCTGCGCCTTGTGCACCACGACCTGGGGGACCCCCAGATCACCCTCTATGAACACCCCAACTTCCAAGGTGCCTGCAAGGTGGTGACGGAGGAGACCAACTTGGCGTACGGGTACTTCAATGACCGGGTGGCATCTCACGTGGTGCAGCGAGGGGTCTGGCTGCTCTACCAGCACCCCGGCCGTGGCGGCTGGCACTGCCTGGCGTGGCCCGGTGAGCGTCTCGCTGACTACAAACCGGAGCTGAACTTCCAGTCTCGGCTGTCCCATCTGCGCCCGCTGCGGCCGGGGCGGCCCCGGGTGTCCGCGCGTCTCCTCTGGAAGGAGAAGCGGGTAGAGGATGAGCGGGAGGTGCTGGTGGATGAGGTGGAGGGGGTGAACGAGACGGAGTCGGAGCAAGCGCTGGCGGCCAGCAGCAGCCGGGAGTACGGCACCACGCTCTGGCAGAGCTTTCACTTCAGCAACGCCACCAGCCTCAAAGCCGGGCTGTCCTTCACGCTCACCGTGGAAGCCTCCAACATCTTCACGGTGCAGAAAGGACACAGCGAGTCCAGCACCCGCCGGGAGCGGGTGGAAGTGCAGCTCCCGGCCAAGATCCCCCCGCGCACGGCGCTCAGCATCCAGGTCTTGCGGAAGGAGGTGACGCTGTCGGTGCCGGTCCTGCTCACCATCACCCAGAATGAAACCGTGCGTACGGAGATGGGCGAGTACCGCAGCGTCTCCGGTACCAACATCAGTGCCCGCTATAGCTTGAAGCCTCTGCCGGCGGCAGGCAAGGAGCAGGCAGCCGCTAAGGGGACAGAGCTGGTGCCGGGCACCGGGATGGAGCTGTAGCTGGGTGGGATCCCTGGAGACGCCGGCGCTGCCTGTCCATGGAGGAGCCAGGACTCGCCTTTTCTGGCCGTATCCGGTGGCTCCAGCCGCAAGGACCTGGCGGTGCCTCTTCCCTTTACGTGCTGCTTTCAAGCCAATAAACCCGTTTTCCTAACCGCCCGGATCTGCTGCTGCTGGGGCCGGGGTGGGCTTGCGGGAATGGGAGACACAGGGCTGGGAGAGCTGGGGGACAGTGGGCTGAGGGACACTGGGGAGAGATGGATGAGCTGGGCACAGAGGGCTAAGGGGACTTCGTGCTGAGGAATTTGGGGGTACACTGGGGTGGGAAGGACACCGGGCTGCGAAAGGCAGGGAATTCCACTCTGTGGGAGCCGGGAGACACGGGGAAGAGCTGGGGACAGTGGGCTGGGAGGGGGCACCGGGCTGGGGGAGACACCAGGCTTGGGGGGGGGCAAGGGACGCTGGGCTGGGAGAGCCGGGGGGCACTGGGCTGAGGAAAGCGGACATTGCACCGGGGAGACAGCGGGGCAGGGGCTGGGGCAGCTGCGGGAACACGGCTTTGGGGCGAGCACGGGTCTGGGGGAGCCGCCGATGCTGACGGACCGGGAGGCCCCGCCCCTGGCCCCGCCCCCCACGTGGCTGCCCCCGCCGCCTGTCTCTTTAAATGATGCCACTGCCTGCACGCTTGGCCCCGCCCCCTGCGCGTCATTGGTGGAACCGGCTCCGAACTCCCCCCATCCTATTTCTCATGTCAAGCGTCTCTCGCTGTCGATTGGCTCAAGCTGTGACAGCGGCACGCCCTCCCCTCCCCGATTGGCTGGGCGTAGCCACGCCTCCCGGAGCGGGCGGTGGCGGTGGCGGCAACATGGCGGCAGCGGCGGGGATGATGTCGCCGGAGGAGGCGGAAGAAGCGCTCGGGCTGTTCACCGGCATCGGCCTCAGCGAGGCCAAAGCGCGAGAGACGCTGCGGAACGGGGCGCTCAGCGCTCTGCTGCGCCGCGCAGTGCTGCAGGTGCGCCCACCGCGGACCACAACTGGGTCACTCGGTCACCCGGGTCCCTCGGTTCCCCGATCCCCCGGCTCCTCGAAGCCCCGGTTCCCCGATCCCCCGGGTCACTCAGTACCCCGGTTCCCAGACCTCCCGGCTCCCGGTACAGCGCCGTTACCGCAGGGACCCTGCGTCTTCCCCGGGATCCCCCTCCCCGGCTTCACCGAGCAGCCTCAGCCCTTGGCATTTCCACCTCACGCCAGCCCCGGGGCCGCCGTTTCACCGGTGCTGAGCCCCGGGCCCGCGCTGACCCTTCCTCCGGACGGTCCCGGCAGGCTCAGAGCGCACTAGGCCCGGCCCTGGACAAAGCCACAGGGACGCTGCTGTACAACGCGGCCGCTCGGCTCCGGGACCCGAAGCACCTCGGTTTCCTCGTCGGCTACATCGCCCGCAGGGAGATCCTCACCGACCTGCAGCTCAGCGGTACCCTGCAGCGCCGGGACCCCCACCCCGGTACCGGCGGGGATGTCCCCGTTCATCACCCCCTCTCTGTCCCCAGCTGCCTTGGAGTACGTGCGGAACCACCCCCTGGAGCCCCTGGATGCGGCGGACTTCGAGCAAGCCTGCGGCGTGGGGGTGTGCATCACCCCCGAGCAGATCGAGGAGGCGGTGAGAGGGGCTGGAGGGACACCGGGAGGGACACTGCGTCATGCTCCTGCTGCCCTGCTCACCGCAGCGTCCTTGTCCTGCTCCCCAGGTAGAGGCAGTGATCAGCGAGCACCGAGCGGAGCTGCTGGCCGAGCGGTACCACTTCAACATGGGGCTGCTGATGGGTGAGTGTGGGGCGCCGGGGCAGACCCTGCTATCGCTGCTGCCTCCTTTCTGGACCCTGAGAGCCAGCCCTTTGCCATGGGCTGCACCAGCCCCAGCTGTTGTGCCACATCCACTGCAGGCAGGGCTGGGGGTGGTGGTTGTGGTGCCCTGTACCAGGGACAGCCCTGGGGCAAGGGCTGCCTCCGGCCACTCTCTGTGGCTATGTCCTTTGCCCATGGGGTGCCCTGTGTGCAGGGGAGGCGCGGAGCCGGCTGCGTTGGGCCGATGGGAAGACCATCAAGAACGAGGTGGATCTGCAGGTGGGTGCGAGGGCAGCGGGTCAGGGGTGCTTGGGATGGTGTCCCCTGTTGGTGCCATGCTCAGTGTGGGATGTCCTGGGCTGCCCCACAGGAGGCACCGGTGCTGGACACATCCTGCAGGGTTGGGTGAGGGTCACCTGCAGGACTTGGGGCACCAGGAGCCTTCTCTACTTCTGTTTGTGTCTCGTTTCTCCAGGTGCTGCATTTGCTGGGTCCAAAGACAGAAGCTGACCTGGAAAAGAAACCGAAGGTGAGGAGGAGGAGAAGGGAGAAGCTGGGCATTGGGATGGTGTTTCCCAGCTGAGTGACAAGGCAGGAGCCCAATAGCTGCTCTGGGCTCAGCTGCCACTGTGAGGAGCACTGGGGGCAGTAGCCTGGGCCAGGAAGGGAAGGTGCATGCTGGGGATGAGCACTCAGGATGCTGTGCTGGTCCCTGCAGGCTGCAAAGGCCCGGCCAGCCCCAGTGGAGAAGCAGAAGGCAGCTGTGGTGGAGAACGGTAAGAGACTGTCCTTCCATGGACAGCTTCGCCAGCCCTTCGGGACCTGCCTCCTGTCCCTGCTCAGCCCTGTCTCTCCCTGCAGGCGAGGTGGGCACCGAGACACGGTCCCTGCTGGAGCAGCTGCGGGGAGAAGCCCTCAAGTTCCACAAGCCGGGTGAGTGCAAGGAGCCACCACCATGCGTGTGGGACCAGCCTGGCCCCGTGTCCTTCCTCACCCCTGCTGGGCTTGGCTGGGTTTGGGTGCTACAGCCCTGAACGTCTTCTGCCTGCAGGGGAGAACTACAAGACGGAGGGTTATGTGGTGACCCCCAACACCATGGCTCTGCTGAAGCAGCACTTGGCCATCACGGGTGGGCAGGTAAGGCTGTGTCCCCCAGGCCAGCAGTTCCCTGTGGTGGTGACACTGATGTGCCATGCTCTGGTTGGGTGGTGGGTTGGCTGGGGGATGCTAAGCTCAGCGTGGACACGGCCAGCACCCATATGGCATGGGGAGCTCTGTGGAATCATGGAGGAATCATGCCTGTGCTCCCGAGGTGTCCCTTTCCTTCCTGCAGGTACGGACACGGTTCCCTCCTGAGCCCAATGGGATCCTGCACATCGGCCATGCCAAAGCCATCAACTTCAACTTTGGCTATGCCAAGGTGAGAAGCTCCTCAGCTCCTGCCTGCTTGGCCTGTCCCTGTGGTCCCTCAGAGCGGCTGCTCACTGTCCCTGTCCCCAGGCCAACGGTGGCGTGTGCTTCCTGCGCTATGATGACACCAACCCCGAGAAGGAGGAGGAGAAGTACTTCACTGCCATCCGGGACATGGTCGAGTGGCTGGGTATGGCTTGGGATGGGGCGGGCAGGGTCAGGCCAGGTGCTGCTGGGGACATCCCTGCACACAAGTCCTGCTGCTGTGTCCTGGGGATGCCTCCAATTGTTGTGTTTCCCCCATCCCCATAGGCTACCAGCCCTATGCAGTGACCCATGCATCAGATTACTTTGACCAGCTCTACACTTGGGCCCTGGAGCTCATCTGCAGGTGAGTGTTCGGGGGCAGTATGGATGTAGCAGCATGGTGCAGACGTCCTGTGCCATGGCCAGGGTTCCCCCTCACCCAGGGGATGGGTCACTCCTTTCTGGTGATGGTGGTTTCCCTCCATAGGGGCCAGGCATACGTCTGCCATCAGAAGATTGAGGAGATCAAGGGCCACAACCCACCACCCTCTCCATGGCGGGACCGGCCGGTGGAGGAGTCACTCCTGCTCTTTGAGGTACTCCTGGCTGGACACAGGTGATGTGTGCCAGTGGGGTCTGGGTCCATGGCTCAGCTGACAGCTTCCCCCTGCCCCACAGGACATGCGGAAGGGCAAGTTTGGGGAGGGGGAGGCCACGCTGCGGATGAAGCTGGTGATGGAGGACGGGAAGATGGACCCTGTCGCGTACCGCGTCAAGTTTACTCCGCACCACCGCACTGGGGACAAGTGGTAGGGAGGGTCTGCGGTGTCCTGGCATGGGTGGTCTGCACCTCCTGGCAATGGGGAGGTGATGCAGACTGACTGGGGTCTGACTGTGTCTGCCTTTGCAGGTGCATCTACCCCACATACGACTACACACACTGCCTCTGCGACTCCATCGAGCACATCACGCACTCCCTCTGCACTAAGGAGTTCCAGGCCAGGTGAGTACAGCATGGCCCATGGCTGGGATGGACCTGAGGGGGCAACTAGCCACGTCCCAGTGTTGGGTGAACAGTGTGTCCATGGATGGGTGTGAGGCTGTGTCTCCTTTGCAGGCGCTCCTCCTACTTCTGGCTGTGCAATGCACTGGATGTCTACTGCCCTGTGCAGTGGGAGTATGGGCGCCTGAACCTGCTCTACACTGTTGTATCCAAGAGGAAGATCATCCGGCTGGTGGAGACGGGTGCTGTGAGGTAGGAGTGGGGCCAGCGGGCACTGTGGGTCTCACCTAGGGCACTGCCTGGCTGTCACACAGGGCAATGCCTGGCTGTCACACTGGTGTCTCTTCAGGGACTGGGATGACCCGCGGCTCTTCACGCTGACAGCCCTGCGCCGGCGAGGCTTCCCCCCCGAGGCCATCAACAACTTCTGTGCACGGGTAGGTTCTGGGGACAGGGTGGGATGGGGCAGGTGGACGTGTCCCCTGCGCAGTGTGGTGACAGCAGGCTGCCCTGCAGGTCGGTGTGACCGTGGCCCAGGCAACGATGGAGCCGCATCTCCTGGAGGCGTGTGCACGGGAGGTGCTGAACGAGCAGGCCCCCCGCGCCATGGCCGTCCTGGAGCCCCTCAAGGTCACCATCACCAACTTCCCTGCCCCGAAGGTGAGACTGCTGCGGGATGGGGTGGGAGCGGGGTTCCCCAGGGCCAGCATTAACCCCCTCCTTCTCCCCAGGCACTTGAGG